AAAGCAAGGAGTCCAGGCAGCTCATGCTCAAAAGACCCAAACTCCCCGTTGGCTTTCAGGGAAAGTTTTTGAAGACAAGGTGAGAGAGAGGGTTGCAGGGTGATCAGCTCATGGACACTCTTCTGATTGGTTGGTGGTGAGGTGACTGGGCATCAACATCATCAACCCTCTGGTCCCAGCCAGTCTGGGGTCTATGTGTTTGTAGGCAGCATCTAGTTAATTTTCTCCGTTTGTGGGGGGGTTTCCATATCTGCAAAGCAGCTCAAAGAACGCGGCTCAGAATAGCGTCTCTAGCCCTTGAGGAGAAGCTAAAGGTCCTTGACTTTGTTTAATGGTTAAACTATTATTATTTTGTCTTACTTGACTGTTTTCCTTTGCTTCTGCATTTTCTCACTTCTCTGATTATGTTTTTTCTTTGGAACTCAGGGAAGACCTAGGAAGCTAAAGTTTTCCATGAACAAGAGGCAGGTGGAGGACATTCCGGGGTGGTGGAAGGGAGTCTGTCCCAGGAAGGCCCCCATAGGGTCCTGCTTGGTTACAAGCTACTCTGTTTCATGCCTCTAGTGCAAGTATAGAATTGAGTCAGAAGAGAATAACTTAATCATAAAATATCCTATGAGATCTTAAAACCTCATGAAACTGCATTCTATTTAAAACACATCCATGTATAATAATAATTCCACTTGTTATTTACCTTCCCCCTGCATTTTTAAGCAAAATTTTAACTTGAGGAAGATGCCTTGTGATGCTATGCAATTTTCTTCCTCCTCCCATCCCTCTGCGGGAGACTTGTGACTGAGCTGAGAGACCCAGAGGGGTCAGGATGGAGCGTGTGTCCCTTGGCCAATTCCCGGCTTGGAAATCTTAAACAAGCTTCAGTTCCCTTGTAGCTTAAATGGGCACAATGATAGCTCTGCTTTTCAGGATCCACGTGACCATTAACTGGGACGTGCTTCTAAAACATCCAGTGGAGTGTTTGACACATTCTCAGTTCTCACCACCTTTCCCTTTGAGTAGAATTAGTCAAACAGCATTAATCCGTCTATGATTTTTAACATGCTACAGCCTGTTTGTTATAGTCTTCTACTCCATGGTGGAAACAACATCTGAGGCATTCCCTTGATGTGTCAAATCTTTTGAAAACAAAACAGCAACGATTCTTGGTTCCACAAATGCTAAGTCTCTGATGTTTCTGGCTCTGGACACTGAGAGATTATCTATACGTGGCCAAACGTTACTGTTCCGAGTTATGTGTGAGTTAAAAGGAGATGATAAAGAAAAAAAACAGATTGTTTGAGCTATCAGTGTATGATTTTGAGACATAAAAGGTAACATAAAAGACATTGAATATTGAGTTCTAAGATTTGAATACTGGGAATTGTGGAACCATTAATTAATAGGTGACATAGTTGGAAACTGTCAGATGAAACACTGGTACAGATTCACCTCGGTGGGTTTCGACCACTTTGTTGAGGTTAGGGGGGAAACATCAGCGGAGCATGGCTAGTCTACAGGGATGTCTATAAACCATGGCCCACAGTCATTCTTACCAATTTTCAAGTGTTAAAAACGTGGCAATGCACATGTGACTGTAAACCTTCGAGTGATTCACAATGGGAAAAAATAATCAAAGAGTGAGAGCTATGAACTTTTTCTTCTATTTACTCCTTTTATCTCAGAACAGACAAGCGTATTTTATAGTTTAAACAATTCTACATTGTTAATAGCATGTGTTATAATTTCTCAAAATGTTCCTTATTTCATTTGGCTTAGTTATTTATCTGATTAAGAGATTTGTTAATGACAGAGCACATTGACTAACGCTCCCCACATATGCAGGATACATTTTTTCCAGGAAGTGCTCTAATTCTGCACGCACATTGCAACCTGAATATAGAAAGCACATCCTTATTTAATTATCAGAAAATCCTCATGAACTAGAAATGGAGATTTTACTTCACTTTTAATCTGTTTTTACTCCATTTTATAGATACTAAGATAAAAGTCTAAAATGTCATCAGAAAGGGTCAAATAGAACTCACCTCTGTCTCAGATTCTTGGTTGTAATATTTTACTAGGCCTATTTTTCTAGGATTACTTTGTCCTGTGTGTGGTTTCACTATTAGGTGATTTATTTCAGAGGGAAAACAAGCACTTTTCATCTCCAGAAAGTAAACTTCTGGTTTTTTCTGGTACTAATTTTCCCACTTTAAGATACAGTTTTGCTGATCAGTAAGACCTATATTTCTAGTGAAATCAACCTACACATTATTGAATAGTGGGAGAAATGTAAAATTTGCATAGGAGACATTGAGATCTGTGTTTTTGGATCATCCTCATACCAACAAGTTTTCTGATTACAGAGGAAAATACAGTGAATCTTAAAGCATCATTCCTGCCATCAGGCCAACTGCCCTCTAAAATCCCCTAGTTTGATTGGGTTTCTCCTGAGCCATTACAGACTTAATAGCCCTGTCTAAATTGCCCAGATTAACTTCCCGTTGCTCCTTCTGCCCAGAATTTTACTGTTACATTCACACTGCTCCACGGGAGCAGGTCAGAGCTGCTGTAAATTCCCACCATATGCTGAGGTTTAAAGAAATATTTGAGTTCCCCATAGGTGGAGCTTGTTAATTGATTAACTTTAAGAATGTGAAAAGGAACCATGGTGTTTTGCATATTTGACTTTGTAATGTTACCAGGAGCTAATTATTCTTTGCAAGATGTCAAGTGGCCACTCTGAATGGAATTCTAACCTATGTTGTGATCAACAAGTGGGAAAGAAAAGATGACACCAGGAAGATGGATGGAAAACTGCTGTGAGAACAAGAAAAATTAAGAGTCATTAGAACTGCTTGTCATTAAGACGTTTTAGTCACTAGAATTTTGTGAATTTTAGGCAAGATGGCTCTGACCATCCTAACCCAACCCCTTGCTAATGTGGTTGCCCTTGACCTTTACCTTTTGTTCCATGGCCCCAAACCCCAGCTCACTCATCCTCTGGGGAAAGAGGAAGCCCCCAGGAGCTGGTCCTCAGCTCCCCCTTGGTCCTCGGCTGCATCAGCTAAACCTCCTGTGTCCCCCTGCTTGGCAGTGATGTCCCTTCTCCACAGCCAGTGTCCTAGATTCTCATGACCTTCCTCAAGGCCACCTTGCCTCGTCATCTAAACCTCAACTACTTTCTCTCCTAAAAAACCGAAGCCACAAGCAGTGGTTCCCCCACTCCCTGAGATGCTTCTGGCCATTGGACCATATTAGTCCCCTGACCCAAATGTGGAGAAGGCAGTGTCCCTCCACTGTGCTCCGAGTCCAAACCCTCTTCCTTCCTCTGCAACTTCCTTCTCCGTTTCTTTTAAAGTTTTTTCCAGTCTTCATGTGCTTCTGCCTCAGCTTATAAGCTCCTGAAGTCTTCGCAGTCCCCGCCTATTCCACGGGGCTGTTTCATTAGACCCCTCCCAGCCACGGTCAAGGACAAAGAAGTCCTCCCAGACCCCACATCCACACCGACGGAGTGTGCTTCTAGCCCACACCATCCTGTCCCTCGCTCCTATGGTCTCCTTGCTGTTAATTCTTTCTTCATCCCTAAAATGTTAGCGTCTCCTTTCTGGGGAGCTCATCCACTTCCATGGTTTAGTCATCTGCATGTTGATGACTTCCAGACCTTATTTTCTAGTCTTTTCTGAATTTCAGATCCGTATAGCCAATTATTTCTTGGAACACCGCTTGAACTTCAGCAAGCTGTTCAAAGTGAACACGACTATGGTAAAATACAACCTTTCTCAAAACCACACTCCTCCTCTTGGGACGCCTCTCTGGATGAATGAGGCCCCCATACACCCCGCTTCCCCAGACGGAATCTTGCAAAGCGTTCTTGACGCCTCTCTTTTCTCCTCCCCTGTGACCAGCCAGGCCCCTCCTCCCAGCCATCTGCCTCTCCATCTCCTCTGCCTCTCTTCCCTGCTGGTCTCTCACTGGGTCCACTGGCTTCTTCAGTTGCCTCATCTCTTTCCAGGGAATCTCCCTGGGCTACGAGAATATTCTCTCTGAAACTCCAATCTGCTCATACCTGTTCTTTGTTTCAAGAACTTCGGGACAGCCCATCCCTTCCAAGACATCATGGAAACTCTTCTGCAAGATACACACAACTCTGGCTACTTGTCCGACCTCATCACCCACGGCCGCTCTCACTAGAGGCTCGGATTTGGCTGACCTACGCGAGTTCCCCACGTACATCACGCGTGCTCCAGCCTCTGTGCCTTTGTAGGTGTTGCTAATTATTCCAGGGACACCCTTGAGTCTTGGATTTGCTTGGGAAAACCTTACTCAGGTGTCACTCTTGGAACCGAAGCCTCCTCCCCGCCCCTAGCTTTCCTCCTTGTCCCCTTCCTACACTCTCAAAATCAGGCCAAGTTCATCTCTGTTATCCTGCTTCCACGCTGCGTCACAGCTGTGCCTTCCCTTGCGTCTGCCCACGGACACACTATCTTTGCTCTTGAGACTCCACGATGACTTCCTGATCCTTCTATCCTCAGCTGCTAGTATTGTGTATTTGGTACGTGATTCCTTTGCGTTTATTGAATGAAAGGAATAAATCAATGCATTCATCAACCATTTCGTAATTAAAAGATATTGACAAAAAGAAAGAACAAGTGGCTCTAAATTTAAAATCCTGACTACAGATATTAATTACAAAGCATACAATAGAACCTGCTGAATTTCTATATGAAATACACAAAACACTTGTGACCTTCTCCGGGAAAGGGTGCAGCTCAAGGGAGAACTAAGTAAGACTGTGTGAATACGTTCTGGTACAGCAAGAACTTTTCTTCCTTCCGGAAACATCATGTGCTAGTATGGACCAAAGCCTTATAAACACATGGGGACACAATGTCCAGGTGATTTCCATTACCCTGGAGACCAAATATGGTTGAAGTGACTTTTAACCACTGGGGTTTGACCACGCACCTAGCCATAAAGCTCTGTGCTTTTCCCCCTCACAGGTATTTGAGCAAGACCCTTCGAGAAGAAGTATCAACAGCAGAGCATTCTCTGAACAGGGAGAAATTCGCTGTTTGGAAACAAGCCCTGAATGTAATTGGCTTCAGTAACTTGGTGAGTCATGCCATAAATATTACACTGAGAAAATCAGCCCTCTACTAATTTATAAAAATCATTCATTCAAAACACTTCTGTGCTCCTGGAGTTTGCATGCTAGGGCGGGATAGACATAAACAAGGGTACGCTCAGGGCACAGGTGCCCTGGAGACAGGCAGAGGATGGACTGCCGTCTTCAAGGAGGTGGTGGAGACCTTTGCCCATTGGAACCATGTGAGCAAAACACATCAAAGAACTTTGCTTTGACTCAAGAGAAGACTGGCAGATCCTGGTGACCGTTTACTGCCAAGAATCACTTTGACAAGTAATCTGATCACCTTATTAAACTCTCTTCTTCAACAACATGATTTAGTTTTTTCATTCTTAAAGAATTACCAAACACCTGCCAGCATTACAAAGCTGAAAAGTACTACTGAAAGGGTTTAAACCCACTGCTGTGCGGTGGAAACGTCTGTGATTCTGGAAATGCCCCAGGTCTGTGCCGTACGATATGGCAGCCACTGGCCACGTGGGACCGGGGAGATGGAGTTTTAATTTTTCTTAGCTCTGATTCCTTGAAATTGAAACAGTCTTGTGTGGTTCGTGGCTCCTGAATTGAACGGCGCAGGGCTAGAGAATAAGAGATAGGAAATGACCTAAGCCCGAGACCTCTCAAATTCCCACCAGTCTCTTTCCTTCACACATCCTCTCTGTGTCCCCTCATTCAACGTGGCGTCAATCTGAATTACAGCCAATTCCTCGTTAGCGATCAGTGTAAGATCGCGTGGGGGCAACTTTGGTATGCCCGTAGCTCGGGAACCCAGTTTTAGTCACAGATCTAAATATGTTTTTTTTTTTTCCCTTAAACCAGGAAGTTGATTGATTTGGGTCTTTGTCTTTTCCCTTGTCCACGTGGCTCATGGGGCAGGGAGTGGGTGGAAGGGGTGCGAAGGTGGCGAAAAGGAAAGGGTAAGAAGGGTGAGAACTCACCCTAAATGAATTAGCTTGGGGCCTTCACCCCGGCCTCACCCATTCAGAGACTGGATGGGATTCTAGGCACGTGCGATCATATGGTGCTTCGTTCTTTGTTGCTCTGCTCATCCAATCTCTGTGTTACTGTCTTTCCCAAACGCCTACCCGTTTGTACTTCTCTGTCTTCGCACTTGCTACTGTTGTGCTCTTTTCTTATTGTTTTTCCCTTCCTAAGTGTCTGAAACCTCTGCTTCCTTATGGGAAACTGGGGTATAGACTTGGGTAAGGAACCATTCCACCAAAAGATCAGTTGCTTGGAAACGGGGCTTTAAAACTCCACGATGGATCCTCAGAGGCAGGGCAAGCAGATTATACCTTCCACCTAAGGCAGCGAGTAGGGAATTTAAGTTTTTTGGTGAAAGAACTGTGTGCAGTTAAGCAAACGATGTGAAGGTAATCACTTCATCTGGATCCTTTGGGGTGACTGGGACGGTGACAACTTGGCCCACACAGGAGGAAAATATCATGTCCCATAAGATTGGGAGGAAGGTACTTCTGGGCTGGCAAGACCCTTGAATCAAAGCTTATGACTGTGGTCCTAGGAGAGCTGACCACAAAGGAGCCTCCGCCCGTCTTCCATCGCGGACACAGAGAAGCAGCCCCTGCCCCTGCCCCCTGAGCAGCTTATCTCCACCTGCCTCTGTCGTGGCATCACCACGCTGTAATCCATGTTCGGGCTACTTTTCATAGCTCTGCCTACTTCACTGAACTGGATGATACTTGAGGACACAGCGAAGTCTTGCTGTCTGTATCCAGAAGTACCTCTCTCCTAGGGCACTGGGACATTTAAAGAGGAGTTACTGGATTTATTTTTTAAAAAAAGGGGGAGAGGGAGGTGTCAAGTAGCTTAAGATGCTCGGAAAATGTTACTCAGACAAGCACAAGTAAATACAATTAGAGACACTAGTTTGTGATGTGCAGGTTACCAAAAACATTTCTAAGTAATGCCACAAACATAGAGTGTTATACCTGAAAACAGATTATCCTTTTCAATGCTCTCATTTTAAGGTCATAAAACTACCTTGTCCTGAAAACTAAAAGTTCTGGAGGAAATTCATAGAAGTCCCAATGACCATATTGTGTCAACTGTGTATTTATAAAGTAAATGAGAGTTGTTCTTAGAAAAACTTCCACAGACAGGAGCTTTTCTTCCCAAATGACAAATGCGGAAACTGGGAATTTAAAAGGTTGTGTCAGTTGCCCTAAATGAGACTCAACCACTTTTACTATTGATAGCATAACACTAAATAGTTGTGATTCCGGGGAAGTACCTTTTAACTTACAGCTTTTCCTTGACTTTTTATTCTTACCCCCGACTGACTGTCCAAAGCCAAATCTGAGGTCTAATTTCTTTCTTTATGCAGCGTTCCAGGTTCTCGAATATTCTTTCAGCAAACACTCTCATCCTTCCTGCTAACGTCCATTTTTTTTCTGAGTTTTCCTTAAAATACTTTTAAAAATTAGCATTTTGTTTATTTCGCCATGGATGTTTTCATCAGACCTCCATTAATTTTCTAGCAGAAATGAAAACTTCTGTAAGCATAATAGCAGTTTATTTCAAAACAGAGAACTAAGGGATGGACTCTGATGCTCTCTGGGGAAGCAGCCACGTGACCCTGAAGTCGGCTAAGCCTCCGGTAACAGTTCTGCCAGCCCTGGGGGGACACGTGTGAAGTCCGACCCTATAAGTGATGTCCAGCCAGTCAGACCATGGTTACACAACCATTCGTGCTTCATCCTGATACTTATCCAGAAACTATTCATTTATATCAGAACACGTCACGTCCTCAATGTCGCTCGTTTAAGGAACAGAAAAGTCGGCTGCAGAAGGAACACTGCGTTTTCCGATTTTGCTTTTGAGCTAGAGATTGGTAGTTCTCTAACGGGACATTCTGGGTCTGAAAAATCACAGCCCCCCCATAGCACGCACATCATTTCTTAAACCTACTTGGAGGTTTTTCAAAGGACCGGTCATTGAATCTTCTGAGCAGCGCCGCTCATCTCCTCTATTTCTCAACCGTGTAGGAGGTGGAGAACGTGTGTGTGATTCTAGCGGCCACGTTACACCTTGGAGACATCCGGTTCACTGCTCTGACCGAGGCCGACTCCGCCTTTGTGTCTGACCTCCAGCTTCTGGAACAAGGTCAGTGGGACAGATCTAGCAGTAACCTCATCGATGTGCAGCTTTGCAGACTGGCCAGTGGATGGCGACACAGTACAGAAAAGTCAGGTGGAATCAACCCTTTTTTGCTGGAGTGGGATTCAGTGAGGGCGGCGGAGGGGAAAAAAAGAACTGTATCCTCTTTCTTCTTCTTTCTTCTTTCTGGTTATGTGAATGAATAAGATGTACGTTTGTGTCACAGTAACAGCGGTGGTGCTTCGGCACATAATTGGGTTTATTTATATCGTTCTAAGTATTCTCCGCCCCGCCCCGTGCCATCCCGTATATTTGGGGAGCATGTTATTAGCTGAACATTTAAACAGAACAGAGTTACTTCCCTTTAAAGACTTTGTCACAAACCTCTCTCTCCCTTGAAATTACCTTGTCAGTCACTCCCAGGTTTTTTCAAAACGCCTTAAAGCCGCAGGTTGTCGTGACCAGCATTATCTTTGCCTCATATCGAAGTAATTTAACCAGGAATTGGGAAAAAGCATTCAGGGCCATTTGTGAGGGCAGGAGGGAAAGAATCCTGCAGTGATTTAATGCAGGAGCCCTGAGAACTCATTAACGTTTCCATTCCTCTAAGCCACTGTTTCTCTAGCTGAATTTGCCAATTGCAGTGGTAGTTTGGTTTCTTTAAGGCACACATTTTCTAATGGGTCTATACAAACTCCTCAATTATAAAATGCCATGTTCTTGCTGTCAAAAATACGTATTAACTTTATGCTTTCGTTTAGTGGCTGGAATGTTGCAAGTATCAACGGATGAACTGGCATCTGCTTTAACAACTGATATCCAATATTTTAAGGGTAAGTTTCTCTGTACTTTGCCTTTCACCTCTGTGAAAATCTTTACACTGCTGAGAGGCCATTCTGATGAGCTGGTCACCTTTTTCAGCTAGTGACTCATTTTAGACAAATAAAGTCATCAATCCGAGAGGATTTATTCAGTTGGAACATGGGATGCGTTTGTGCGTGCGGTGCCAGGCTGGGAAGGGCATCCTTTTCCCTCTTCCTCGTCAGTCAGGATAAGAGCTGCCATTTACTGGGCACTTACGAACTGGAGGGCATTGTGGCAGGTGCTATAAATGCTGGAATTTTTAGTTCTTCCAAATTGCTGAGGGGTGGGCTTAACTATTTCCATTTTAATGAATGAGAAAACTGAGATTCAAAGAGGCTAGATAACTTTGGACATGAAATCACCAGTAAATGGCATGCTTGGAATCAGACTCTAATGCCATCTGACTCCCGAGATGAATCTCTGTGCTGTAGGATCTCCACTCAGTGGCAAGAGGGTGCCTTTCCTAAATGCTCTTCACTCATCCACTACAAGTCATCGCCTCACCAAGCTGCCTCTTCATTGTAATTTTGAGGACTCAGCGTCCATCTGATATTGTTTATTCTCAAAATCACTGCTATTCTTACCTCTGTTCCCAGTGGCCCTACTTGCAGACACTTTGGCATGTGCCTTGTAAATTCTGCCTCATCCCTAGAGTTCCCCTTCCACGTTCCCAAGCTTTATGGATCTCCCCATTATCCACTGAGTTACCCAAAAGCCGTTCCTGGCACTTCGTCCTCCTCCTTCTCCACTGAGTAGATCAGCCACAAGCCAGTTCTACCCCATAAATACTTCCCACTCTCACTCTCGTCCCTTCACTTTCATCCCCACTCCCTTAAACTGTCTTTCTCAGATGATGGCAAGAGAATCTGATCAGTCTTCCACCTGGCCTTATCTCACTCTACCTTCCTTCCGCACTGCTTCAGGAATAAGCTTTCTGAGATGCAAATATGATTTTCATCCATGGATGACAGCCTTGAAAGGATGCGCCCACTCCTTTAGAGTAAATATCATCCCTTTCGGAGGTCCTGAGAGGCCTTTATTATTGGGGCCAAACCTCACTTTTATGCTTCATCCTCAGCCGTTTTCCCGCCAGTGACCTTGCATCAGGAAATACACTTTCTTGAAGTTCTCCAAAGGCATTATTCTTCCTCACGGCTTTTTTTTTTTTTTTTTAATTGAAGCAGAGTTGGTTTACACTGTTGTGTTAATTTCTGCTGTACAGCAAAGTGATTCAGTTATACCTATATATATATTCTTTTTCATATTCTTTTCCATTATGGTTTATCCCAGGACATTGAATATAGTTCCCTGTGCTCTACAGTAGGACCTCGTTGTTTATCCATCCTATATGTAATAACTTGCATCTGCTAACCCCAAACTCCCAACCCATCCCTCTCCCGGCCCCCTCATGACTTTTTAAAGAAACATTGAACTCCCCATTAATATCTGTAATTTAATATATCCAGGCCTCCCTCCTTACTCCCCAGCCATGTGGGTGAGAACCCCACCGTCACGTTGGCTCTAGAGACCTCCATCCTATAACATCACAAGTGACACCTGCTTTCACCGCCACTTCGTGAGGTTCCGTCTCAGCGGCATTGAACTCATGGCCGCTTGACTCTTCACGACCTGCTGGTGCTTTTTTGTTCATTTGTTTGTTTGATCTCAGCTTGCCTCAGAGGCGGTTCTCCTTTACCTGTGCCTCTGTTGATTGACAGCTCACTAAGTCCTCATTTCCCATGGTCAGCATCCTATTACCGGACTCCCTGTGGGTTGAGTTGCAGTGGTACCCAGGTTGGCCGAAGCCATAGAATGTGAACTAGATGCTCACTCCCTCTCAACTCTCCAGCATAAGTGCTGGCCTAGCCTCAATCCCAAATCATCTTTACTTATCTTTTTCTTGGTTTCTTCTCTAGTCTATTCGCCACTCAAAAGGTTATCACTCAAGATTTCAATCACCAGCTCTTTGAGAATAACATAGAAATTTCTACCTTAAGGCCCGATCTTCCTCTCAACCTCCTGACCCCCACTTTGGTTAGCAGGATCACTTCTTTGAAAATATTGAAAATATAACTAATTTTCCAGTCCTTGAAGAGGACTCCGTATCCAATGCAGTGAGACGTCATCAGAAAGCTTGTTAAGAGGGCCCTGCACAGAGTCGGTTCCCTCACTGAAGGGAGATGATGCAGCCTGCCCCTCCAGGCTGTGATCAAAAGCTGTGGTCAACATTTGCAGCAAACAAGATCGAAGTGTGCACGGCACTCACTTTAGAGAAATGTGTTTTCGTAATCACCGGCAGAGGCTTTGTTTATTAGAGTCATAATATGTGTTTGAACATCTTCTGTTGCGCGTGGATGTGGAGGGATAACTAGGAGGACACAGCTTGGTGGCTTCTGAACGAGGGAAAGTCTTGTGCTTACGCCTCCTCCCCTTCCTGCTCTCCCAGGAGAGATGATCACACGGCGACACACCGTGGAGATGGCTGAATTTTACCGGGACCTCCTGGCCAAGTCCCTGTACAGTCGTCTGTTCAGCTTTTTGGTGAATACGGTGAACTGTTACCTTCACAGTCAAGAGGAGCCCAGCAGGTAGGTGTGATGGACGATTACGGTGATTCCCACAATAGAGACTTAACTAGGCTCGCTCTTAAAGATGCTTCATAATCCCGTGTCACCCAGAGGTTAAACTATCATTAAAACATTTCCTTTTAGCGCGATGATTTTACTTCAAGGATTTGACTGACTGATTTTAAGGGATTCAAGCCCCCTCTGCCCATACGCACAGCCCTGGATAAATTAATCAAATCATCCCTCGTGCATAGAGACGCAAATGCATTCTCTCTGCACTGAAGGCATCTATGGCCTTTTAATCACCAGGAAGTATAAAAAATGTATAAATCTGGGAAGAAGACAGTTCAAGAATATCTAAAGCACTTCAGTCCGTTGAGAAGCCCATGTCTCTCTAGAAACAATTTGATGATGTGTTTCAGCTCGGCAGTTCCTCCTGTTTTCTTCACTTGTTTTGTGGATTATTTGATAAAGCGTCTCTATGGTAACCATCTTGACTCCTGGCCTTAGTCATCTTTAAGGAGTAGTGTTTCAGGGCTGTTTGATCATCTAAAAATGATAGATCTTCTTGGCATCTTGTCAGTGGAAAACTTTGTTAGTATTCTTGTCTCCAGTAATGACGTTGGGCAGGGCAGGCCATTGGGAGCAAAACTGCATCCAGGAGTCTTTACACATATGCCGGTCTTTGAATGAAACCTCTTGAGGATTTCTTTGTTGTCCAAACAGACGTCACCAAATTCCTGAAAACGGCCCCTTTTAGAGGTTACTTGGAAAACATTAGGACTAATATGTATTAATGGGAAGGTTCTTAAATAAATACAGCTATCTCAGAAGATTTCAAGGACAAAGGCGTACTAAATTCTCATTAAAATATACACATTAAAAAATCCACTGCTCATTGATCAGCATGTTCAATATATAGTCTGTGACTTGAGGGTCGCTATAGCGTTACCTATGTTTCAGCAGATATACATTGATATTGGATGTGGTGAGGATTCTGGATTTTATTATTTCTTACTCTCAATTTGTGATTTCCCTTTAAATATGAAGATTATTCACAGAACAGTACTAGTCGGCTAAGACTACCAAATTAATCTTGTATAAAATCATTGGCAGCTCTGCTGAAGTTGACATTGAAAAAATTACCAAATAAATCCAGCTGCACGTAAAAACTTTTAGAAAATTTCCATTTGACATTTAAATCTTACAGAGCCTTAAATTATATAAATGAAAAAACTTCTACAGAGTCAAGATTTTTGACTGCACACAGAGAAAATGAAAACATAAACCTTGGAAAACACATTACTTCCCTTTCACTGGGAATATTGTGTCAATGTGCAAATTTATGATATGAGTCTTGTCTTTATGATTCTCTACTAGGCAAATGAATAAGGACAAGGATTATTGGAAAATTAGAGGTGAATTAATGTATCGTAAGTTTAACTCCTAAAAGACAGTTTTCTCATTTGAGTCATAACTCCCATGTTTTCTTCTCTATTTCTCCCATGGGTCACCCAGACCTGAATTTAAATCCGAAAATAATGCAAAGAAAGGTTATGTTTGCAGTATTTCTAATTCACGGAAATTCACGGAAAGCTTAAAGATTTGCAGATTTACGGACCCATTTCCTAAGTCGCAGAGAAGTCTCAAAATTTGGATAAACTTAGAATAGGCTTTTATTGTTTATGAATCCCCAGTTTCTTTTGGAAATTTTATAATTGCGTTAGAAAAGATTATATTAAAATATATATATATTCCTGTGGTTAACATGGGCAGGCACGCTCGATGTTGGTGGGAAATATTTTTCACACTAGGTAATTTTTGTAAAATTTGCAAGAGAGAATAAATATAAATAGGATATACTCTAACAAGGTATAAAGGGAAGACAAGTGAAATTTAAGCAGATGACATGTTTGTTCTTGGAATGCTGGGTTCATTTTCTGGATTATAGCAAAATAGGTACAATATAAATAATGTTACACGTTAAAAAAAAATTCTACTTCTTCTACCTAGTTTCCAAACAGGTTTATCATCCTTGTGATTGTGAAATGAGATAGAGATTCTTACTAAGGTGTAGCGAATAATAATAACTTAAAAATGTTCAAATGATAAATAATTTTTGCATCTCCTAAAATAGGACCTGTTTCACAGTTGCTGCACTTACATTCCCAGGATTGAATTATCAGTGTTAAATTTGAAATTATTATTTTTCCTGAATCGAGATCTTCAGTAGATTTTTGGTGTAAACTTGCCTATTTCAGAGGCACCTGTAAGTTAAGAGAGTCTTGGACAGGCAGAGGGGTTGTGGAAACTTCGGGAGACGTCTCCAAATGTCTTCAGACACAGAAACCTACAGTTTATTTTAACTCATTTTCATCATGAGTTCTGACTGCAATGGTTTATATATACGGGGACACCTGAGAAATATAACCTATGGAACAATCCCCTTTTTATCATAGAAGCACCCTAACAATAAGTAGACTGAAGGTTATAAATAGATGAAGTTCAGGAGGTAACTCGCTCGAGGGGTATTGGAGATATACTTCATTCATTCATTCATTCATTCATTGATGGCTGCATGATCTGAAATCCACATTTTTGGAGAGCACAATTTGGCATGCAAATATACTACAGTAAGTAAACTGAGTTTCAGGCATACGTGTGGAGATTTTTTTGTTTGTCACTGAGCCTTCGGGGTCTTACATATGCTTATACTATATTACATTCTTTTGATATTTTAGTTGAGCTAAACATAAACATGTTAGTAATTTATGATTAATTACATTCCGCTTCAATGAATTATAGAAACTTTGGGAGAGTTCTCCAACTGTCTTCAGATACCAAACCCTACGATTAATTTCAACTCATTTTTATCCTGAGTTCTCCTGTGTCCAAGCCTGTTCCTTTGGACGGCACCTGATTGCAAGAACTTTGGTTGGTTTCCAGGACTATCTGAGGATAAAAGAGGTCACACAAGGCTGTCCGCACAGTGCCTGGTAAAATCTTTGTGGTCGTGGCTGGAGAGAAGGCTTCCCAGTTTATGGCCATTTATTTTGGAGAGATGAGGACTGAGAAAAAATGCAGAAGGAGGCCATGGTAGAAACCCTAGATACAGTCCAGTCTCTTCGTTTTCTGTTGCTTCGGTAATCTCGGTTGTTTGGAGAATAGCAGATAAAGGAAGTAATTTGTTCTTTAAGAATACGAATGCCGCTACGCATGTACACTGCTGGGTAGTTTTGTTTTAAGATTCACATATCAATGCAGTGATTTAATTCCTGAAATCATCAGCCGGATATTTTTGGCATCTTATCCTGTTTCTAAATTCACATGGTTTAATTATAAGCAAGTGATTTTGTAAGTCAGTATGGAATGTCCTAGGCATCCAGCAAGATTTCCATCAACTTATTGCCACGTGGAGCGGGTGTTCCACAGCAGTCTGGCTGAGTCATCGTAAAGGATGGAGATGTTAATAGTGGGGGCCGATGTCTCACAACTGACAACTCACTCTCTGAAATGAGACAAAAGTGCGTGTGCAGTAGGATGTGAATGTAAGGTCCTGTCGGGGTGTCAGGTGAGCACGGTCCTCTCCAGCATCTGACAGCATCAGATGCATCAAAATGCATGTAGCGAATCTGCACTAATAAGATCGGAACCATCAGTTTCATATTCAGAAAAATGACACTTCTTCATAGGCGAGACTTGCTATTCGCTCTTAATTAGAGGCAACAAATGTTTTGTGTAGGGAAAAAGTAAGGATAGCCTTGAAGAATCTGAAGCCTGGTTTAATCTGTTGGGTAGTCTGTATCTGGTCTAAATACTGCCTTCCTGAATGGCAGAGAAGGCTGATCTCTACTTTGATGCTCTGAAATGAATGTAAGGTGAGTTAGCCGGGTTAAGGGGGTTTACGGCTTAAGTTTTCATTTGGGAATTCTCCTTAGATTTGTTCTACTGAGAATTCAGTTTGTACACTATTAGTTATGAACAGTTAGTGGTGTGTATGCACGTTTGTTGAATTTCCAAAGATTTTAAACAGAAGAGAGTGTTTTGCTGTATATTATATTGAAATGATATCCAAGTTTCTTATGATTTCCATTTGTTTCTCATTGATGCAATCAGGTAGCACTTAATGTACTTACGGAATGTTATAATGTATTTGGACCTTTTTTTAGGTCGAAGTCCAATTTGAGAATCTGATGAATGGCGTAAACTCACACACAGTTTTCCATATAATTTGGGGGACTTAGAGACTCTCCCCTCAAAGAAATAAATGTTCCTGGACTGTATTAACTTCTCAATTTGTTGATTAAACAAGTTAATAAATTCTGAAATAATACCGCCAATGTGGTTCATAGTCCCCTGGTAGTTCTTGAGGATTTTTAAGTCAAATTTTTTTTTTGTAATTACTTTGTTGTTGACCTTTTCTTAAATAGAAAATTATCTTTTTAATTTTAGATGAAATCTGTGATTTTTAAAAACCTACAGAGATACCACCTGATAGACGAGTAACGTAATTTTTACTACACTAATATAACAGTAAGAATGTTAATCTTTTTAAGATTATTTTCAGCGGATGAGATTTGCAGCGCTAACTGAGAATTTGTCAAGGATCTCATCCATTAGAGACAGGAAGTCAGTATCTTACTCTATGAAGCTCTAGGGGCCTGAAGATGGAGCATCGTCCTCTGCACTGCAGGCAAACCATCAAAAATATCTCCTGGATTATGGTTTATACCTACACCGTTTGCATAGATCACCTATAATACTTTACCTAGCACCTTAGGACAGTTTTCGAATTCCATCTGTAGGTTGTTTTTGCTTTTTGTGCAGGGAGATTTGTCATGATTTCTGTACCATCTCGTATTTCCCAGGATGAAAAAGCCTGAAATTCAAATCAAGGATGTGTGTGTGTGTGTGTGTGTGAGATTATTTTCTTCTTAAATTATTTAACCAGAAGGCTTTTTTAAAAAAGTCAGATGCCGTCTATGACTTTTTAAAAGGACTAGATTGTAGCCATAAATAGT